GGAGTGTGAGAAGTGACCACTGAGAGACTGAATTGAGCCAAATTGTGAGTCTTTATTAGCTGGCCAGCGGCTACCCTCTGCACCGCCGAGAGGCAGCAGCACAGAGAGCAGCCCCGAGCCAGGAGAGACAGGCTCTTTTAAAGGCAAAAACCACATCCTGTAAAGTCATCTGTCTGCGCAAGCAGGATCATGGAAGCCTAGAACAGCATTTATCATTATTAATCTTAGTCAAAAATGCATTTAACATCCTGTCTTAAGTCAGAGTACGTTTCACTCCCTGCTATCTGAGTACATGAGGCACCCCTGGGCGTTTCAGTGCTCCAGGGCGTTCTGGCCCTCTAAGCTAGCTGTTACTTTATTTTGTTGAGGCTTGCGGCTGTGTGAAACGTACTCTCCTCCCTCTTTATTTTTTGCTTAAGCATACGGACAGAAGCGAGAGAGCAGGTTATTTTCCATAGACCTTAACATGTCCTGAGCAGTAAAGAACTTACTTTAGTTTTATGTAGTGGTGAGAATCTTCAGGAATGTCTGATTTCCACTTATCTGAAGCTGAACCCTGAACTTAGGTCTGAGATAGGACAACTGCTTTTTTTTGGTAAACCCCAAATTTGGGGCAACAAAGAGTGGGAGGGTCCTTGAAGTAAGGCCCTAAACCAGTCTTGTTAGTGTGTGTGGATTCAAGTTTTTATTGTTTACTTTGTCGCTTTTTTGCCTAAGTTTTAATGTCATTGCGCAAGAATGAGGTAAAACCACAATATCAAGCAGTCTCGGTTTTAGAAGAAATAGCCTTTTAGCCATAGTAGGTTTCAAAAGGAAAACTTACTGAATTTGAAGCCAGTGAGACATTTAAAATGATTTTGTGCATGTTAGAATTAAAAACATCTCAAGGTTGTAGACTGACTTTCTGCAAAAATTAAAAAAAAGCAAAACAAACAGGCTGTCTGCTAAGGGTGACTGGTGTCATCTTGGCTCAAGCCAGGATGGAACAGATGGTCAGGTTACACTGTTTTGCCCTTCATACACAAATATGCCTTATTTAAATGTTATTTAGAAAATAACTTTATAGATTAAAATCCTTGCATATCTTGATTCTAGTGTTACCGAACTTTACTTGGTCCCTTTGCCCCTGCGCGATGGAAGACCAAACATCAAAGTGCTGGTTCCTTTGTGGAGAAAAGTTTGTTGCAAGGCTGCTGAGCAAGGGGACAGGAGTCAGGTTCAAATCTGCGTCCCTGAGCTGGGGACTGGAGCAGGTTTTATAGGCAGAGGGTAATGAGGCATGATCTGGTTGGATTTTGGAAAGAGGTGATGCTAGGAGGCATAATCCAACTGGATCCTGCCATGGGCGATGCCACAGCTCGATCTGATTGGATCATGGATCATGCCATGTGGTGTCCACTTCTTAATTTGGTCTTGCTCCTTGGTCTGAGCACTTAGGTTCTGCCCATGGTTGCCTGGTTGGTTCATCTGAGCACAATTCAGGTTATGTAACTTGCAACCTGGGGGTCCGTGGCAACTGAACAGCAACTTACCCTTTTGTTACACAAAGTTGAACCAGATCGGGCTGGTTCTTCGGTTACGCTAGCGTACTGATGACTCCTGTAATTTCTGGCACGTGCACCCTCAACTGTAGAGTTGAAACAAAAATTAGACTTCATTTCTTGAGGAAGTGGGTCCAGAGAAGTAGTTCTCTTTGACAGCAAGAACTGCCTTCAGGCCTCTGGAATGGCCTGGTTGCCATTCTGAGATAGTTCACGATAAAATGTTTCCAAGGGAAATATTCTTTTTGGCAAATAGCTTTTTCATTTGTTTTTAGTTTCTTTGTTTTATGATTAATTCTCACAAAAGTGTAGAAAAGGTTAGACAGAGGTAGAAGGACTGAACTGAGTGGCAAAACAACATTTTTGTCCGTCTTTAAATTTCACTGCTGTTAAATATTCATAGTGTTAGGGGCGCGTAGTTCCCTGATGTTCTTCTCCCATTTGTAGCTAGTTGCCCTTCCAATGTTCAAAAGACAAAAATAACTTAGCTATTTTAAGTTAATCAATAAGGATATCTAAGCTAGACTTAGAAAAATGGTTTTCTTACATCATGGTTATTTTATCTTGTTAGTGTTCAGTTCAAACAATCAAGTGTTTATTGAGTGTCTATTATATTCTTTATTAGGCGTATAAAGACACAGAACAGCCACATTTTAATTTTTATTTCATTAATGTTTCTAAAAGTTGGTCCACATTGATAGTAGACTCTATCCATATTAACGCTTCTTGGAAAAGATAAATATTGTAACTGGCCTATTTTTTTTTTCTTATTTAGTATATTTCTTTGACTAGTTCAACTGATAGAATTCTAAGATTTTTAAAAGTCAGGCTCACTTTTCTTTCCATTCAAACTGAGTGAATAATTTGGAAGACAGTATCTTCACTTTATACCAGAAATGCCATCAGTGAATTCTGTTTTTCATTATCTACCTATGTGTTTTTATTACTGTTGTTTATAGTTCTTAAGATGTGATTAATTCAAGCTGGCTAGGAAGTTATTCAGAAATTAAACAGAATTGGTTGTTACTCCAAGTTAATAAACCACTTGTCAACATTAATCCCATCTGCTGCTGAAAAGCTGGTCATTTGAATTTGCTTAGGAACCTTGCTTCCACTTTATCCTTCTCACCTTAGTATTCTAAGTACCTCCCTTCCTACCTTCCCGTTCTATCTTACAACACAAAACAATAAAATCATTCTTCTTTAACCTGTATGGTCCCTTTCAGCCTTTGGGCCATTTTCTCCCTTTGTTGCCAGACTGCCTGCCTGAGAGTTGATTTGGGCTGCCTTGATTTCCTCATCAAGGCTCTGCCCTCTCGTTTTTTGCTAATTTCATGCTTGGCTTTACTAGTAAAATCTGGTCTTTAACTTCTCTCTTTCTTTTCTTTAATGTCTTTACCAATCACCTGTAGATCTGTTCAGTATGTGCACAGCTCCGGCCTTCCACCCAGTGTGAATCTCCAGCTCAGCCCTGCAAGACCAGCAGTTCAAACCTAAACTCCAGTCTTCCTTCCCGAACCAGCTCCCCTCTTGCCGTTTTCCGATTCTGTCAGTGTCCTTCTGACACTCAGCTTCTGCCTGCTCCCGTGTTACCTAGCACCCAATAATTCGAAGATAATCTGTCTTCAAAATTTAAAGCTACATTTATGTCAAAACCAGTGGCTTGTCCTTTTTTTAACTCTTATTTTGAACATTTAAACATAATATGTGCAATTCATTTTTTTAAAAATTCAAACAGTATCTGAAGGTTTTAGTGAAACATGAATTTTCCTTTTACCGTGGTACTCAGTTCTCTTACCAGCTTTTTGTATATCCTTCCTGAGGGACATGGTGAAACGTGTGCTGTGTATGTATCTCCTTTTCCATATCTGTTTTTTTACATGCATATATCATGCTATATAAACTGTTTTCTAGAATTCTGCTTTTCCCACATTTTGGAGATGTCGGTTCATTTAGAACTTCCTCAGTTATCTTAACAGCTGCAGGATGTTGTTGTTTTTTCTATTATCAGAATTATCATATTGAGTGGAAGTAGAAATGTTATTTTACAAAACCCTCAGCCAAATAAAAAATATTGTGAATAGTATTTATCTTGTGACTTTTCCAAGGAACTCAAGAGTAGTTTGCAGGTATTACAAATATCCTAGCCATGTTGTTCCCTTGTAGCTGTTTGAATAGTGAAGATGACTTGGAAAATGCTAGATTCTGAGCAGATCTATGTGCGGCCTTTAAAAATGTACTCTTTCACTATCAATAATGAATTCTGGCTATAATTGCTTAGTAAATACTTTTGTTTGTGTAAATGTACATTTGTTAACATTTTTCCCTTAGGCAATCCCCTATGTTGGCACTATTCCTGAGCAGCTGGAGCCTGGAACTTTGATTGTTATACGTGGGCATGTTCCTAGTGACACAGACAGGTACGGTCATTGTGCTGTAAGAAAGAACATGAGCGAACTGTCTTGCCGTGATTGTGGAACAACAAAAAACAATGTGGGTGAGACCATTTTGATATTTTGAGGCTTGATTTGCTGTTATCAGCAGCCCTGGCCAAGGTGCTCAGGATATTGGAATGAATGACTGAACAAAAGTTATTGGACATTTTTATTTCATTGCTATATGTCTGATTTCAATATAATGAATTGGATATGTCATTATAGAAGGGAATAGCGGTCAGATGACAGGGACAGCCCAGTTACAGTCTAACATTCCCACATCTCTTAAGATCTATTTCAGAATGTTTTACTGAGTGTGTGCTTTGGCTTCAAACTCTGGACTGAGGTATATCGGTTAGCACTGGGCTCAGCTCCATGCAGCTGACACCCAAACAACAGCATTTTAAATAAGATAAGAAAATTAAGTCTCTAGGGGACAGCCCAGACCTTTTCAGTCAACTCTATCAAGTCATTAGGGAAGTAGGCTTTTTTCCAGCTCAGCACTTTGCTAACCCTAGGGTGAGCTAAGGTCTTCTTCGTCATGATCCTTGGAAGCTAGATCTCCAGCCCTCACATCCATGCTGTGGGTGGCTGGGTGGGTACATGTGGTATTTGGGGGTGGATGAAAGACAGGTGCCTGCTTTAAGGCAGTTTCCAGTAGTTTTCCTGAGCACTTCGCTTCCATTTCATTGGCAGCACTTTAACCACATGAGCAGGCCTAGCTGCAAGGGAAGCTGGAAAAGATAGGTTCTTATTCCAGGCAGATCTGGACCCAGCTCAAACTCAGGAGCTCTGTGTTACTAAGGAAGAAGGAAAGGAAGATTAGGAAACTAGCTCTTTTAGGCCACGTGGGTGAATGAACAAGAAGGGGTTATCAGTCATCCATCGCTCGGCCTGGAGTGTAGTGCTTGCTGGATCCTTCCTTGCGTCCTCCCTTCCTGAGCGCTCATGGGGCCCCTGTTTTTTCCCACATACAGATTCCAGGTGGACTTACAGTGTGGCAGCAGCGTGAAACCTCGAGCCGACGTGGCCTTTCATTTCAATCCTCGTTTCAAAAGGTCCAACTGCATTGTTTGCAATACTCTGAAAAATGAAAAATGGGGATGGGAAGAGATCACCTATGACACGCCTTTCCAAAAGGAAAAGTCTTTTGAAATCGTGATTATGGTCCTGAAGGACAAATTCCAGGTAGGTTTTGGAGAATGACAAGTTGAATCCTCATTAGTGAGAATGAGCACACAGGGAAGCTTTTCACGTTTGTGAACTCACCTTGTATTTCCTAAATTCAAGAAATAGTTTGGCTTTGTAATTTTTTCTCTAAAATAGAACCAGGCAGGTACCTAAATGTGAGGGGGTGGGGGTCACAGCTACTCTCTCCAGCCAGTTGTTGCTGTGTAGAAATACAGGTCCAGTGTGACCAGATCTTTTTATTAGATCGAATTTATCCTAGCAGGGCTGAGTTCTGAACTGACACAGCATTATGTTAATTATGGGAGAGTAAATTATAACCATCACCACCCAAAGTATGGGGAAATCTGGAACTATCAGACAGGTGGAGAATCTGAGTATAGAAATTAGAAGAGTTTTGTATATTTAAGTCTTGCCACAAGGCAGCTCTGTGGGATCATGAGATTTTAGATCCAGAGGGGAATCTTAGAAATCCTTTGTGCAGCAAATTCTATCACTGGCTTCAAGGAATGTTTTATACCTAGTGCATGGGTGTAAGGTAGGGTGTGGCCTTAGAGGCTCTCACGCCTGCTGTCTGTCCAGCCGATGGCGCTGTGCTGGACTCGTACTGATTCGGGTGAACACTCTCCTATCCCTGCTGCTGATCCTTTGTGTCCTTCAGGACACTGCTCCCACTAGAAAGTCTCCCCTAAATCTCCTGAACTCCGTTCAGTTCTCCCTTCTCTGGTCTTCTGAGCCCTTGTGTCTCTATCTTTCTTTTTAACAGTTGTTCCTATACCGTTGTGCTTTAGTTTTATCATGTGTTTACTTTGCTCCCCAATGGGACTTCAAGTTCCTTGAGTCACAGACCATATTGTGCACTGCTTATGTTTTCCACATATAACCCAACACGGTGCCCAGCATTTGGGAGGCGGGGAAAAGGAGTCCTGTATACTGAGTTCCTGTGTGGCAGGCACTGTGCTGAGAACTCGCAGAAGCTACCTTACTGTCATCTCATCACCGTAGCCCATTGAGGTAGAGATTGTACTTACTTACAAATAAGAAAACAGAATCTCAGATAAGTTGGATAACTTGCCCATGTTCATTCATTTAGCAAATTCAACAATATTTACTGAGCGACTGCCACCTACGTGGTCTCTCTTAGAGTATGGTCCCCAAGGACAATGTGGTGGAGATGGTGTAGGGCAGACCTTTAACCTGGCTTCACGGGCCTCCAGGGCACCTATGCAGGGGCTTTGAAGGGTGGGGTCGGGCTTTGAACCTGGGGTGTCTCACATGTATGCACAGTGCACACATGCATACATACATGTATTTGTGAATGCGTATGTTTATCTAGAAAGAGACAGTCCACGGTGCTTAATCAGATCAGGAATTCAAAAGAAGTTAAGAAACACTACTAGTGTTGCGGATGCTCTTAGTCACAGTTTGGTCAGACATGTGGAGACCTGTGGGAGAAGGTATGAAATTAAACCCAAGGAAACATTTCCATTTGGATAAGTTCATTTATTAACTGTTTTTTTGGGGGGTGGTTGTTTTCTGTGTCCTTGTAGGTGGCTGTAAATGGAAAACACACTCTGCTCTACGCCCACAGGATCGGCCTGGAGAAAATAGATACTCTGGGCATTTATGGCAAAGTCAACGTTCACTCAGTTGGTTTTAGCTTCAGCTCGGTGAGTGTCCGTCCACACCTTGGGGTCTTGTTTGATGGTGTTTTCTCATGAATTGGTAGAAAACATCTTTAATTAACACTAATTTTGAGATAAAAATAATGCAGATATCTCCCTCAGTAGACTATTAATTTCTTGGAAGTGAATTTTTTTAAACTAGTAGGATGTTATTTATCAACCAGGGCTTTATTATCTATAGGATCTCAAATCTAGTGTGGTTCTAGCAAAACAAACACACACACGCACACACACAATAATTAGCTAGGTAGTGGATATTTCCTTTACATGGGAGTACAATGGAGTGTTTCTGTAAGATAGTTTCCTAGACGTGGAATGTCTGAGTCAAAGAGTACAGTCATATGCCACAGTGGTTCCATAAGATTGTAATACCGTATTTTTACTGTACCTTTTCTATGTTTAGATATATTTAGATACACAAATCCTTACCATTGTGTTACGATTGCCCGCAGTATTCGGTACTATAACATGCTGTATAGGTTTGTAGCAGTGGGCTATACTATGTAGGTTTGTGCAAGTAACTCTATGACGGGCGTACAACAGTGAAATCGCCTGATGATGCATTTCTCAGAATGCATCCCCTTTGTGAAGCGATGCATGACTGTTTTGCATTTTAAGTTTTGACAGATACCGCTAACTTGCCCTCCGAAAAGATGGTAACAATTTGCACTCTCAATAGCTGTGCCTGTCTGCTCACTTTCTTGTTGCCATTAGAGCTCATTCTCTTTAATGTTTGCCCATTTGGTCGGGAGCAAAGGACCCAATGCGTAGTGCATTTTTCGATCATAATTTTCAAGCATATTTTCATGTTTAGTACCATTTATAATTTTTTGATATGTCAAGTAGGTTATATTTAGAAAAGATGTTCTGATAGATGTTAAAAATTAATCTTTATTATCTTTTCTTCAGGATTTACAAAATACCCAACCATCTACTGTGGAACTGACAGAGATAAGTAAAGAAAATGTAAATATACAATCTTTTAATAAACCACCAGTTTTAAAATGTTCTCTTGGTTGCATGGAAGTCAGGTGGCAGGAAGGCTGGTTTGTAAAAAATTATGTTTTTCCTGTGAGGCTAGGACGGAACTAATCATTTGAAAATCGAGGCATGTACTTCTTCTGGTGCCTGGCACTTGATAGGTTTTTGCCGCTGCTTAACCTGTCAGTTTCTGCCACCACTACTCACCATTCTTATGTAAATGAGCTATCTCACTCTCACCTGGTGAGTAGCACTGTCAGGAAGTATTTATAAATATCCATCATCAGTCAGTGCATTGGCCAGTGAGCTTCCACGTGTATCTTCTCCCCCTGTGGGAAAAAGTGCAGTTTACAAATTGCGTCTTTGCTATGACCAATGGAAAAAGTGAAGACTTACTGATCTCAGTGCATTCATATTCACAGGTAGAATATAATCTCAGCACTCTGGGGCCACCCTGGAAAGAACAAGTGAGATGTGTTTGGAGGTCATATGTTGTCCTATGAAAAATCATTCATTTTTGGTGGAGGATAAAGGATTTAAATGAACAGGACAATCAGACTCTATTCTCAACCCGAATAGCCCTTTACAAGCTCACACAGCCCTGTCTTAAAGCACTGGCTGCCTGTACGTCAGACCCAGGGCGGAGCAGGCACTAACATCTCACGCTCTGGCCGGGCTCCGCTCAGTACAGCCACAGAGTCAAATTGCTCATGTTATAAAATGTAATTCTTCCCTTCCGAACATTCTCATATTTTCTTTCTCTTCCAATGGATATAAAAGCTGGTATGCCACAATTTTTTAGTATTTGTGTCTGGGTTATTACATGTGGAACATTTTATAAAATTGCCTAGAAAATGAACAGTTTAGACCTTGGCAGGCAGCTTCATTCCTTCCCTACCTTACTGTAGAACTGTTTCCCCTACAGCCTAGTATTAGAGAAGGAGACTTTTCTAAAATCGTACCCAGAACTGTCTGCACCAAGAGCAAAGATTCGACTGTCAATCACACTTTGACTTGCACCAAAATACTACCTACCAACTCTTTGTCAAAGGTTTGAAGAGCCCCAAATTTTCTTAACTCTATATAAAAATTAAGTTATTATTAGCTGTTGTGTAACCTCTGACCCCAGTGAGCCCAAAGCAGCCACTCGCACTCTGCATTTGTACGCTGTTCCTGGACAGACACGAGGGTCAGCCAGGCATGTGTCTGTGAGCCATGCATGTATGTTTCAACTCCCCCAGCGCGGCTGCTTCCCCTTCAAGCAGAACACAGCCCTGCATCAGCCCCCAGGACAGGTGGCTTTCCCAGAGTCGGTTTCACTCACACAGAGGGTATCAGGTCCCACTCCTTGTCCACGCATCTTGTCATCTTACACGCAGTCGTTGAGTGTTTGACGTGAGCCAGGCACCATGCTGCTGCAGGGGACCCAGCTGGGACCAGGGCAGACTTAATCTGTCCCTTCAATGGGCTTTACAGGGTCATTACTCTTAAACATGTCCTGTGTTCTTTGGACACGAGTTTTCCCACAAGTTCCCTTTCTGCAGGCCTCCTAGTCCTGACTGTGGCTTCTTTTCAGACCCTGCCATTCATTGCAAGGTTGAACTCCCCCATGGGCCCTGGACGAACTGTCGTCATCAAAGGAGAAGTGAATACAACTGCCAAAGGGTCAGTATCCTTAAGTCGCCAGAAACAGTGTGAATACTTTCCACGTGTGCCTGTTACGGCCTTACACCTGTAACCTTCTCATGAGCTAAAAGTAGGCTGCGTCATAGTCCTCATTTGCAAGGTGAAGGTATTAAAGAAAGAGGTTACGCTGCTGACAACTAGTTGGTGGCAGAGCCAAGGCTAAAGTCCAGTGTTCTGACCTAGGCTTTTTCTGGCCAGGCAAGAGCAGCATTTTTGCCTACGAGGCCCACCCTTGCCTCATAGAACCCCAGGGCAGTCCGTTAGATCCAGCAGCATTTTTTAGGGCCCCTTGTGTCATATGACTTGGAAAATTTCTGCTTTAAGAAACTTTTCCAGAAATTTCCAGACTTCTGACAGCTTGAAGTTAGAGCTTTTTCCTAGAAACTAGCATACTTTCAAGAAGGAAAGAACACGTAAATGATTTAGAGAGAATACCTGCTTGAAAGGATCCCAGATTCCTGTAGCCTGAAGTAATTATTCAGTTGACTAGTGCTAAGCCTTCAGTTTCTGCCCAACCAGATCTCAGCCTCAACATTGATCTTAAAGTTTTTTTGTATTTTTATTTTGCAGATCTTAGTGGAATGCTGACTCCGTTTAAAATTTCTCCTTATCTGCATTCCCATGTCCATGCACATACGTATGTTTCACGTAGTTATAATCATAGTTCAAGTCTGGTTATTAAAATTGCAGAAACTGCCACTACTCTCTCCTACTTGGTTAAAGTGTTTTCTGTTTTCTCTCTAAAGCTTTAATGTTGATCTACTAGCAGGAAAATCAAAGGATATTGCTCTACACTTGAACCCACGCCTGAATACCAAAGCATTTGTAAGAAATTCTTTTCTTCAGGAGTCCTGGGGAGAAGAAGAGAGAAATATTACCTGTTTCCCGTTTAGTCCTGGGATGTACTTTGAGGTGAGATTACAGTTTTTGAAGATGGGACAGGAAAAAGAGTCCTGGAAGCAGGGGCAGGATACATGGTACATTTAAATCAAGGCCTCACTGAACATGTGGAGACTGTGTGTGGGTTTTTTGTTCTTTTACTTGGAGATTGTAATTTGAATGCCCCCGATGTAGGCCATCGGTATAAATGGAAGAGCCAGTAGAGTACTGTATCATTTGCATTGGGATTATTTGACATTTGTCATTGATGAATAGGAACTTTTTTTATTTTTTAAGCAAGCCCATTGCTCGGTAAGATTAGTAGGAATTTTAACAGAAACCTGTCTCAGGACTGGAGTCACATGTTTAATCCCGAATGGACTTGAGGATGTAGGAACCCTAAAACTACTTACTTGCATGGCCTGTCATCTCCAGTCCTGGTAGATAGTTTCAGGTGACAGTCCTTTCTTCCAAGGAGTTAGTCCTGTTTGCATGTATTCAAGGAAAAATCCATTAGTCCCTTGGAACTAAAAGGCATGTCATCCTGAGTCCCCTAATATGTGAATATTATGGTAACTCATACCTTTCCCAAAATATATGTCTGTGATGCTGAGCAGAGCTGAATACTTTTGAGTTGTGGATGCTGGGTGGTTGGCTAGGCTCATTCACTAGCTTAGGTGACTCTCTGCCTCCCTGATCACGTAGGGCCATTGATTTAGGTCATACTTTTATAATATTTTAAACTGCCACATCCTCTGGACCATTTGAGTTCACAAGGACTTATCATGCTATTTGTTAGAAGCACAAACATCAAGGCTGAGTAGAAGATGGTGATTTGATGTTAATATTTATTGCTTAGCTCCAGTCTAGTGCAGTGCCCTGGTATGTGGAGTTTAGACAGATGGGGGCTAATCATAGAAGGTTCCCTGAGAGCTGTGGATACTGGTTTGGAATTCAGAGGAATGGGAAGGCTATGGAAGGATGAAGGTCGGTTCTCCAGATCTAGGGCATGATTTGAACAAGTCACTGCAGTGGGAAGGGCAGCACAGGGTTGTTGGCTTGGCAGGACTCAGGGCATAAAGGGTGACTTGGGCCCACTGGAGGGAAACAAGAAGTGAGCGTTCTAGAAGGAAGTTGATCCCTGTGGCTGGTGACAGGAAGCTAATGATGTAACTTGTTTTTGGCCTATCTGGGCCCTAAGTTTGGATCTATTAAAATTAAAAAGGACAATAATAATAAATTCAAATAATACTGAAAAATATTAAGATGAAAATTAAAATATCCCCAACCCTTTAATTCAAACAATACCATTGAGATTAGGTGAACCTCATTGCAGACATTTTTCTGTAGATGTAGAGTGAAAAGGATGGCTGGCTGAAAGGATGAATAGATGTATCTTTTCAAAAATCATCTTTTCTGTTAGTTTTTGACTTCAGTAATTGTCCTCATGTTGATCATTGTTGTCAGTTTTCCATAGTGATAGATGCTTTCTAATTGCTTCTACCTCTTGCCTTTTTAATATGCTTTCATTGAGATATTTCCATTATGCCACTATTTTCATTTTAAACGTATCTTCTTGATGTTTCAAATTTACTTACTAGTTATGGCTAGTCTTTAAAAAAAAAATCTCATTCAGTATTGTAATTTCATCTGCGGGTTCTTCTTTTTAATGAAGTTTATTTTCTTACCAGCTGGTCTATAACATCAGATGGTTGTGAGGGATTCCGCTGTTCCATGATGGGTTTTTGTATGTGATGTGCCTTGTTGTGTTGCAGTAGTGTGCTCACCTGGGCGTGTGTCACGTCTTTCCCACTTGTTTGTAATCCGCTGGCTCTGTGCTTGCTCTCATTCAATGTAGGTAACTAATTGACTCCCTCTGGTGCCACTTGTTTTTCCTTCTGAGCTACTGCACGAGGCTGTTGGTGTTTTCTTGGGATTTTGCTAAACGTACATTACACAAAGTCCCTTCCACCTGGTTGAAACTGGGATTTCCACCATTCTCCTGGGGGTAGTGTCAGGTTACAGATATTTCCCCAATTCTCTCTGTAGACCCAGAGCCTTCATTTTGTATGATCCACAGAATGCCCCCCTCTTCCTGATTTTCCTTGGCAGCCATTTCCACTGCTCCTATTAAAGAGTAAAGACCCTCAATTTGCTACTTTGCGGATTAAGATTTCGTGCCTCAGTCTGGCCTCTGGGGATGGGGCCGGTTAACAAAGCTGCTAATCCTCTCTGCTTTGTGCTGCCCCTCTCTGCTTTCTTCTGAGGCCTTCACAGGGGCAAGGGGCAGGGAGGGCACAGTGCACGGCCACCAGACTGGCCTTTTCAGGATGGGTGGAAACCCAGCCTGGCACTGGGAGCTTGGTTCACCAGGGCGAAGTGTAGGTGTAAAGGTGATGTGAAAGGATAACAGGTTTTTGTTTGTCTTATTTGAGTTTTGAGCAAAGACAGCTCTGAAGGGCTAACACTAGTGACGAGCCTGACCTGGATCTGCCAGAATGCTAAGAAATTGCTCCTTAGACCCACAGGATGCCCAGCTTCGAAGAGCTTTAGAGAAACAGACTGAGACCAAGACGTGCTGAGCTGGGATGGAATCAGGACCACCAAGCAGCCATGCAATCCCTAGCAAGTGCCTTAAGCCTCTGACATTTCATGAGTTGTGTGATTTACCCAAGACCCTCACGTTTGAGGCAGAAAAGTCAGGATCCAGGTCGCTTGTTCCCAACCTGCTCATTGGAATCAGAATCTCCGTGAATGCAGGTCAAGATAGCAGCAGGATGCTGCTTCCTACTCGGCAGGATGGGGCTGAGGGAGGGGAGTGTGCCGAGGAAAGGAAGGTGCGAGGCTTCAAGTGCATGTTAGAGTAACTTCCTGAGTGAGACAAGGCAGAAGGTGTAACTAGAGTCCTAGAAATCACAGAAGGGAAGTCAACAGCAGCAGGCCAAGAGAGCTTCTCTGCGTATAAAGTCTGACACTCTATTAGCGTGCAACAAACAAAAATTTTTAAATTAAGGGGAACCACTAATGGTATGTTTCCTTTCCTTTCAGATGATAATTTATTGTGATGTTAGAGAATTCAAGGTTGCGATAAATGGTGTACACAGCCTGGAATACAAGCACAGGTTTAAAGAGCTCAGCAGTATTGACACGCTGGAAATTAACGGGGATATCCACTTACTGGAAGTGAGGAGCTGGTAGCTGACCTGATCGCTACAAAATACAAAATGGCTTCTGTGGTACTGGCCTTGTCCAAATGCATCTCACTGTCTCTATATTGTTAAAATGAGCTTGCAAAACATCAAGTCCTACTGGGTGTTCTCAGTCCTTGCCATGCGGTGTGGCTACGTCTGGCACTGAATGAAGAAATCTGAGGTCACTCTACTTTCACCTGATTTGGCCTCTTTAAAATCACATTCAACAAGTATTTATGAAGTACCTACATAATACAGTAGCTAACATGGACTGAGCACGTATTTTTTGTTGGCACTGTGCTAGGAGCTGGGATACAGACATACTGGTGCCAAAACCAGTCTGTTCTGTATTCTCTTGAGCTGAGACTCCGCTGTGCCCTACCACTGTGCACCGTTTTTCTACGGCATTGTATAAATTCATCAGGGGACCTTTGGGATTAAAGAGTTATGCAGCTGTTAAACCACCTAGACACTAATCTGTACAAGACCCTACTCCTTCCCCAGTGATTGCGTTCATAACCAGTGCTCTGTCAGATCCCATAATTGAGCGGACTGATGCTGACTTATACCTGGCAATTAATGTTCTTTAGCATGATAGATGTAGATCTACCAGCTGTAAGCTTTAACAAATAATTAACATGACATCTGAACACAGCACAGAAATGAGGGCAAAAAAACAAAACAAAAACAAATGGTGTAGGAATTAACTTGCTGTTAAGCTCAAGGCAGCTGATTTCTGTGTATTTGAACTCAGGGTGAGTCAGAGGTCTGTAGAGACTCCTACAGAAAGTTTAAGATAGAGGCAAGATGCACTTAATTTGTAAGACATTTGTGGGTAACATCGTAATGTCAAGATTAGAATTAAGGAATTCATAAAATAGGCACTATCAGAAAGTAACATATACCACTGAGAGACCCATGAAGTAGGTAGGGAGGTAACCTAAAAATCTGTTGTTCGAGTGTAAACCACCGCTTGTCGCTGCTCCTCTAAAGATGAATCCGTCATCATTAGCAATTGAGATCAAACATTGTCATGTTTTAAGTAATTAAAATCAAACCTGGATCAGCAAGTTAAATCGTTGCATTATTGTAATTTTTCTGTTATTTGAAGGGAGTTAGCATAAGTTCTATGTAGAATCTTTACAAATCACATCTTGTCACAGGAAATTTCAAAGGTCTGGGAGTGGGGAGGGAAAAAAAGCTAAATCGGGCCAGGCACAGTTGCTCACGCCTATGATCCTAGCACTCTGAGAGGCTGAGGCAGGAGGATAGCTTGAGGTCAGGAGTTCGAGACCCCCTCTCTACTAAAAAAATAGAAAAAATTAGCTGGGCAACTAAAAATAGAAAAAATTAGCCAGGCATGTCCCAGCTACACAGGAGGATGATTGATCACTTGAGCCCACGAGTTTGAGGTTGCTGTGAGCTAGGCTGGTGCCATGGCACTCTAGCCCGGGCAACAGATGAGACTCTCCCCAAAAAAATTAAAAAAAAAAAAACTTAATCAGTTAGATCATTTATCGCATTAAACTGCTAGGCAGAATTGTCAGGATTAGGAATATTTCCACAACAGATTTTGGTTAGATATTATTTCTATCCATACATTGAAAAGAATACCATTATTAATCTTATTTTTTAAAAAGTTTTCAGTGTAGAAACTGTTAGCCCTTAATTCTTTTCCAGCTTTTCATGTTAATTTATTATGCAGTCTTGCCAACTCCAAAAAACATTGGGGGTGGGGGAAGGCAGGGTAAGTTATGGAAGCAAGAAGGCTCTAGAATCCCCCCGGTTATTTTTTCTTCAGAAAGAACATCAGGGTGCATGCATGGCTGAGATCTTGGAGACTGTAAGGCATTTAGGAAAAAAAAAAGCCCACTCCAGATTATTTCTCTAAATCTTTAAGATTAAAGGTTCACTTTCATTTTTGTTTTACACGGATCTATTAAGACTGACAGAATAAATGCAAAAATCTTAAGATTTTTGTTGAGATATTTCTTAAAGAGAAATAATCATTTCTAACAAGGTACATTTCTAAACTGCAAGTTGGCCTTTTGCTTGTCACAATCCCACACATTGCTATATGAGATCAAAGGCTTTCAAACTCAATGTGAACGTTCTATGTGACGGTTCTTACATGCCTTTAAAAATAAAGGCAGATTTATTTATTTATTTTTATTTGAGGCCTCGCCAGCTTCGCCATGACATAGCACTAGAGATTAGAGCACTTTAAAGTATTTGAAAAAAATCTGATACTTACTTTCTTATACAAGTAATTCTTTGGTGACCACCAATGAAATTATGATCATTTGTAATCCTGGAGGGGCTCCCTCATGCCACCTAGCGTTTTTAGGCCCTTTCTGTTGTGTGATCAGCCAGGTATGGTTGTTTCATAAGCAGCACACTCAGCCCTGGCCCCCCACCCCCACCCAGAGATTCAAGGATCAAGAAGACAGTCATAGGCCGGGCGTGGTGGCTCACGCCTGTAATCCTAGCACTCTGGGAGGCCGAGGCGGGTGGATCGCTCAAGGTCAGGAGTTCGAGACCAACCTGAGCAAGAGCG